ATAATGTTTTTAGTTGCTTTCAAGTTGTTGTGTATGAGTGCTCATTTTTTTTTATGTTGAATAGTATTTCATTATATGGCTGTACCTTGTTTCTTTATTCTATTAATGGTCATTTGGGTTCTTTAGGTTTTTGCCTTTTATGAGTGAAGCTTCCATAAACATTCATGTACAAATCTTCTATGAACATAATTATTTTTCTTCAGTAAATGCTCAATTGTATGTTTTGTGTTTATAACTTCGTAAGAAACTTCCAAACCGCTTCCCAGCGTGACTGTACTATTTCACCATTTCCACTAACAACTTATGTGAGTTCATTATTCTGTATACTCACCAACTCTTGGTATTATAATTTCTTTAAATTTTAGCCATTCCAAGGAGTGTAGTGGTTTCTCCTTGAAGAATTAATTTGTGTTTCCCCAATGACTAATGTGTTTATTGGTATGATAATCACATTATAATAATATGACTAATGAGTCATTCTTCCTTTGTCAAGTGTCTGTCAGTTCTTTTTCTTTTTTTCACTCATCACATTCTCTTCTTAATATTGAGGTGTTAAGAGTTCTTTATATGTTCTGTACCTAAGTTGTCAAATATGTGTTTATTGTCAGCCTGCAGCTTCCTTTGTAATTATTTTAATGTTTTCTCTTGATAAATTTTTTTGTCTTGACAAAGTTCAATTTATCAAATTTTTCCTTTTGTGGTCCATGCTTTTAGAGCTCTATCTATGAAATCCTACCCATCACAAATTGCAAAGATTTTTTTTCTATGTTAGAAAAGACTTCCTACAGAATTACATTAGCCTCCTTGTCAAACTCAGTTGACCATATATGCATCATCTATTTCTGGACTCTTTGTTTCATTCATTGATGTGTTTGTCTATCCCTGTGCCAACACTGCACTGACTTGATTAATTTTATATTGTCTTAAAATCAGGTAAATTCTATAGCTTTGTTCTTATTTTTGACTCTTTTGAGATCCTTTGCATTTCACTGTATTTTTAGAATCAGCTTGTCAGTTTCTAAAAGAAAATTGTTTTCTGGAGTTTTTGTTGAATTGCATTGGACTTAAAGATCAATTTGAAGAAAACTAACATTATTGAGTCTTCCAATTTACAAAAAGTTATCTATTATTTATTTAAATGTTCTTTAATTTTTCTAGGCAGTGATATGTAAGTTTCAGGTCATAGGTTTTGTTATATGTATCCTAAAGTTATATGTGTCCTAAAGTAAATGGTGTTACTTAAAATTTTATTATACATTCGATATTCATTTTTTTGATTGCTCATTTGAAAAAACAATAGAATTTTTTTTACATATATTGGCTTGGTATCCTTTAACCTTTTAAAATTTTCTTGTTATAGTCATTTTTTGGTAGAATCCTTTGGATTTTGCACATAGAAGATGTCATCTTCAAATAAAAACAGTTTTGCTCTTTTCCTTTCCAATCGATAGATGCTTTAGTTTTCTTGCCCTTTTGCATCGGGTAGGACCTGCCAGTACAATGTTGAATGAAAGTGGTGAGTGGACATCCTTGCTTTTCCTTGTTGTTGATCTTAAATCTTTCACCATTATGTACAATGTAAGCTGTAGATTTTTTAGTAGATGTTCTTTATCAAATTGAGAAAATTTATTTTTGTTTCTAGTTTATTGAGAGTTTTTATCTTTAGTCATAAATTGGAGTAGAATTTTGTCAATTTTTTTATCTTTTATTGCTGAACATGTGATGTTTATTCTTTTTTTCTATTAATGGGGCAAAATACATTGATTGATTTTTCAGTGTTTAATTTACCATGTGTTCCTAGCCTAAGCCTCATTTGGTCATGTTTTGTTTTTTATTTTTACTCTGTTGCTGAATTTGATTACCTGTTATTTTGTTAAATATACTTGTATTATCAGAAATATGTGTAGTTTTCATGAAGTGTCTTAGTATATTTTTAAATTTAATTTTTAAAATTGTAAGATATACCTGAAATTTACCATTTTAACCAGCTTTTTAGTGTACAGTTCAGTAGTGGTAAGTACATTCACATTGTTACGCAACCAGTCTTCAGAACTTCTTTCATTTGGTGAAAGTAAAACTCAATGTCCATTAAGCAATTCCTCAGTATTCCTCTTACCAGCCCCTGGTAACCACCGTCCTACTCTATAGCCATGAATTTTACCACATCATTTAAGTGAAAATAATATGTGTGTGTTTTTAATGTGGTAAAATACACATGGCATAAAATTGATGACTGGTGACATTTGGTATATTCACAATGTTATACAACCATCACCATTTTTTAGTTCTAGAACATTTCATAATCCTAAAGGAAACTCTGTTCACCAGTTATTCCCCATTTTCCTGCTCCCCTTGATTCTGGCAGCTTCTAATCTGTTTTCTGTCTCTATAGATTTGCTGACTCTGGTATTCTATATTACTGGAATCATAGAATATGGGGCCTGTTCTGTCTGGCTTCTTTCTATTAGCATTATTTCAAGGTTGGCAGAGTACTTCAATCCAACAGTCTTGCAAATAAAAAACAAAAACCAAAGAAGGCCAGGCTCACGTCTGTAATCCCAGCACTTTGGGAGGCCGAGGTGGGCGTGAGGGACTATGTTAACTTCTCTTCCTGGGTCCACAAGGGGCATGGTTTCAAAGGCAAGAACTTCCCAGCGCCATGCCTCCATCCCACCTCCCCATCCGGGAACCTCGAGTTCTTTGTCTAACTTTCCCGAGCAGGCTAGGTAAAATTCCATGTGAGCTTCCTTTGTTCAGAAAGCCCACCAAGAGCCCTGGAAGGAGTGGCTCTGTTGTGGGCCCAAGCAACCAATCTGGGACCAGAGTCAAAGAGCAATCACTCCAGAGGAAGTTTAAAAAAAAAAAATCCTCTCATTGGAAAAGAACATGAATGAGGTGGAAATAACTTCAGAGTTAAATCCCCACTACCTCTTACCTGTGCGGACTCCTTCTCCGGATGCCCTCCAGTGTGGGAGCTGTCTTTCCCTCTCTACCTGTGCAGATTTCCCTCTCTGGGATCCCCTCCCACAATAGCATGGAAGCTCGTTCTACTTCTTTCTCTCTGTCTGCCCAATAAATTGTTCTCTGCAAAACTCTTTGGGTCCTTGATATTTATACCAACGGTAAGCCCACGGCATCTCCAGGGCCTCTTCCCACATTCCTGGGGCAGCGGAGATCAAGAACCTGGGACACCTGGTTACAGGCAATCACCTGAGGTCAGGAGTTTGAGAACATCCTGGCAAACATGGCAAAACCCCATCTCTACTAAAAATACAAAAATTAGCTGGGCATGGTGGTATATGCCCGTAATCCCAGCTACCCAGGTAAAGCTGAGGCAAGAGAATCACTGGAACCTGGGAGGGCAGGGTGCAGAGGCTACAGTGAGTGGGAATCTCCCACTGCACTCCAGCCTGGGTGGCAGAGTAAAGACTCCATCTCAAAAAAAAAAAAAAAAAAAAAAAGAAAGAAAGAAAGAAAGAAAGAAAGAAAGAAAGAAAGAAAGAAAGAAAGCAAAGAAAACAGTTTTTAAAGTACGAGTATACTAAAGTAGACTTAAATATCCAATAGAGAAAACTCAAGCAAATTTTAAGATATCAAGAACACATTATTCTTATATACTTGCATGTTAATAGTAAATATAGTAATAATGGGGTTCTTTAGCAGTATAAGCAGATTTTTACTAATATTGACCTTGTACTGACACACTGACCTTCTACAAAGAAATTACAAAAAAAGAAAATCTAGCATATTTTGTAGGAAGTAGAGGGTTATTAAAACCAAAACAACATGCTCTAATATTTCTGGTATTCTCAAAGCTTGATGGTTCAAATAAAATGGGTCAGTCAGGACAATAATGGCAACTTAGGCCCATTAACAAACAGAGACAAACAAATAGCAATAGCTTTTCGATACCATCAAACATATTTGGTAAATCCTCATCAAAGGACTGACTTACTATGTGGTAAAGTCTCACAAGAACATCATCTTCAAATATTGAGGATAACAATAAACACTGAAGTTAATAAAAAGTCTACTTTATAAACTAGAACAGCCAAAGAATTCTAATGAAAGAGATCACTACTTATCTCAGGTAGCATTATCAAATTCAGACTAAGGCATGTACTTTGAATTCTCACACTCTATATTCTGGCTCCCAAAAACATCACTTTTTTATAGTCATCTTTGATACTCACGATTGTATGATATGGAGTAAAGTAATTTTTTAACTTCAGTCTTTTTAAAAGCCTCTATAAACATTATGTTAAGGCTTCAAGACTGAAATATGTTCAAAACATACCTAATATTATCTTCATTTGCAATTCAATGACAAAAAGTACGACTGTTTTACCAACTTTTAGGTATGGTCTCTCCATAAATTTAACTTTTACAATTTATATTCATACATTTCTCTATAGATATCTTCATTTATTAAGTACTTTTTAAGACCCCCAAAACTGGACATGTATATTTGATAAAATTACACGTACAAAGTAGACGTGCCTCATACACATCATTAATAAACTGGAATAGTATTCACAAACAGCTAAGAAGTATCATTATCAAAATTCAAAATCCATTAGTTGAAAAGCATTAGGAGTTAGCAAGGCAACAATGGATATTCTCGTGAATGAAGTATTTTCTCATCAGATACTGAAGAAAAATAAAAGGTAACTGCTATGCTTCTGATTACAACATCATCAACCTACTTCAACAGTAGTTTCCAAAACTTCCCTCCATAGATGACTGCCACAAATATTTGCATCAAACAATTTGGAAAGTTAAGTAAATAAGAAAATATAAATTGGAAAGTAGTTTGCTTTTGATGCTTCTTTTTAAACCTTTTTAGGAGGATTTTGGCATCACAGAATATCTTTTTTCCAAAACGCTTTGCTACCATAAGATCGAAGATATTAAGTCATCAAAATATATTTGCAATTTTCTGTTTCTAATAAGAGTTGTCTTTTGTATAATAATGCATTTCATATAAGGTTTTGTCTCACCTGGCCAGTTCTTTAATTAGGTTTGCAATGCGTCTTTTGTCTTCAAGACATAAATCCTTCAATGATGCACTCTTTATTTCTCCCCTGCAGGAATTCTAAAAAAAAAAAAAAAAAAAAAAAAAAAATTGAGTTACTTTTTCTAAAAACAATTTTTAAAGTCTTTTCAAGAAACCTAGGTACAAGGTGAAATTTCTTAGATATCCTTTTATCTGGTGGAACATTATCTATCTATTTCAATTTAAGCCTACTGTGAACTAAAAACGGGCTAAGGAACCGACTGTCCACTAGGATACTTCATGAGATTTACATAGAGAAGCACACAGAAATAAACTAAAAGCAGAAAATATTCCCACTTAAATACTAGGGTATATTAGGAAAACAACTTTCCCTTAGTGAATGTCACAGAAACAAATACTCAACAGAAGATACTGAGTACTGCTCTTACACCACAGTCCCCATGCTGCTTCAGGGTATACTAAGGTTAGCAACAGAGGCACCAGGGACTAAGCATTCAAAATACCCTAATGTTCATTCCGAAAGAGTACTAAATCAAAGAGTAATAATAGCAATAGCTAACATTTACATCTAGTGCTCATTCCATGCCAGGAATACTGTAAGTACTTGTACTTACTATTCCATTTCATTTTCATAACAATGCTATTAAGTATTAATAGTTACTATTCCTTTTCTACTTTAAGGGTACATAACAAGGATTAAATAGCAGAATCAAGACTCAAACACAGTTTGAGTCAATAGCAATTAAATAGCAGAATCAAGACTCAAACAGTTTCCAGAGTCTGTGCTCTTTAAACACCATACTATCTTAATCTTTTGTGCTACAGAAAGTTTTCCCCAGTACCTCAGCATTGTTAAGAGGGGTCCTTAAAGACATAAACCCAGGGAGTCACAAAGGAACTGGAGGTAATATGTAACAGAAAGGAACTATAATCCTTGGCATTTGCGCAACCACCAAAGTTAAGTTAGTCCAATTATTTCAGGTAGCCAAGAATAACTGAAAGCCCCTAAAGTGAATCCTGGAAATAGTAACAGCCAAAGGTGGGAAAGAGAGTAGGAAAAAAAATAATAAAGAAGATGATAATAAAATAAGTTTGGTTTTAGAAATGCTCAATGTAAGATGTCAGCAAATCTTTCAAGTGGATATGTTTAGGCAGGAAGCTAGAAAGGTAGGTCTAGCTTTCAAGCTAGAGAAAATCATAAAGGTTTAAAAGTCAGTTGCATGGTATTATGGATAATGTTGAGTTTTCTTATTCTTTTTGTCTATGTTTAAAATTTTTCTTTAATAATTATAATATTTAACATTAAGAAAAAATATTCGTATTTTAAAAATCATCTACAAGTCCAAGAAAACTGGCATTTGATTTTAATTTCAATTAATTAATTTGATTTTAATTTAATTTAAAGTGGCATTTGAAATGACAAGAGGAGAATCAGAAGCATATAACATTACAGTAGAAAAGAAAAAAGTTTCAAGAACAGTGTGGGGTCAATAGTGCTAATGATTAAAAAACACAAATAGACTGGGGGAAGAAGGTACTGGATTTGGCAATGGTAGAAACTGCTGATAATCCATTAAAAGACATTTCGTTAGTGATGCAGTCAGTAAAAAAAACAAAAGAGAAATCTTTGCACATAGGCCAAAAAAAAAATTTAGCAGCATTGTGTTTACAACAGCAAAAATCTGAAACACAAATGTCTATTAAGCAGAGCATAGTAAAACTTAATGTCTGGCATATTTATACAAAGAATTCTAAACGTACTGGTAGTTATGCTACTAACTTTCACCCTCAAAACTACCCTTCCATCCTCTGCTTTGAGATGCTAAGGCTAAGACTCTGTAAACACCATTTCTCCTTTGCCACCTGGCTCTCTGTTGAACTCTGCCAACACAAAGAACCAGATGAAGCCCAGGAAGAAAAAAGAAAGGCTATTTCCTTGCTGTTACTGACAGTGTCATCCCTGAATTCCTCACCCTGGCAAGTACTGATGATTCCAGTTCGCAATTTTTTTCCGGCTCTTACAGACTCACCCTTTATCAGGCCTCCTCAGGAATGGCAGTAGCAGCCAGGCTGGTGTCCCATCACCAGAGGTCCAAGTTGCAGCTTTAAGGAGGCTCTCCTTTAAGCTTCTAAATTTTAATAATTCCAACTTATTCTGCCCTCTCATCCAGTTCTAGAGATTGTGGTGGTTTCGTACAGTTACTACTTTCATGATACCTTAATGTTCCTTTTTTGCCTTTTTGGTTCTCTAGCACTATTCAACAAATTTTTTCTTTTAAATATTCTGTTAAAATAACTGACTAAATCCTGAGACATCAGTGAAAAGAAATAAAATGAACTATATAAACTATAAAGAAATCTCACGTAATGTTGGAAGAGCCACAGAGTTAAAAAAGAAATCTCATGAACATAATATGGAATAAAACAGCAAATCATACAACACAAATGGATATGAGCTCATTTCTATAAAGTTCCAAATACATATGAAATTAAACACTGTTTTTTAAAAATAACTTTACACTATATAGGACAGGGCTTGGTAAACCATGGCTGCAAGATGAATCTGGCCCACTGCCTGTTTTTGTAAACAAAGGTTTATTAAAACACAGCTTTGCTCATTCATTTGCATATTGCTCATGGCTCTTTTAATGCTACTGTGGCACAGTTGAGTAGTTGAGACAGATGTTGTAACTTGCAAAGACTAAAATATTTACTACCTGTTCAATTTATAGAAAAAGTCTGCCAACCCCTGATATAGAAAAATCAAAGAATTATAAATATAAAATTCAGGATAGGAATTACCAAAGAAGATATGATGAGGGAAGGTCACATCTCCACAATCACTTGACTTACAACAATGGCATCACTGAAATTCCAAGAAAAGAATGCTCTTCCCAATAGATGGTACTGGGCCAACAGTCAATACGAAAATATGAACTGTGACCCTTGCTTTACACTACATGTGCATATTACTTCCTGATGAATAGTAGACTTAAACTGTGAAAATACAGCAATATGGCTGCAAAAGAGAGAGAGAACTTGCTGCAGAGTATAATCATCTAACAGCTTCCAGTTGTAAACCTTGGGGATCCACTGCAGTGTTCATGCCAATGCCAATGACTGGGAACAGGAGAGACACTAGAACTGAGCTATTTCTGATCCAAATGGCATCCTCAAAAGGCAGTATGTGCTCTGGGGTTCCTCACTAGCAAAACGGACACTATCTCAGATTGCATGGCAGTCTGAAGGCTGAGGTTCTTCCTAGTCAATCTTCCTTCCTTCTTTATGTCTCCTCTCACAGGTGTCATGCTGTGGTGAAATCTGAAGACTCCCCTTTTCTATTCCTACTCATTCTACCCTTAATGCTTTACAGGTTTTTCCTTCATTAAATCTCTTGCATTCCTAATCCTATCTTGCTGTCTGCTTCCCAGAAGACTTGAATTGACTTAATTATCACTGTGAAAACCTTAATGAATTAAGGATACTGAACATCAATACCAACAAAGACTATATACAGAAAAAAAAAATCACGAGATGGCTAGGTATGGTGGCTCACGCCTACAATACCAGCACTTTGGGAGGCCAAGGAGGGGGGTAGATCCTGAGGTCAGGAGTTCAAGACCAGCTTGGCCAACACGGTGAAACCCCGTCTCTACTAAAAATACAAAAATTAGCTGGGCATGGGCACATTCCTGTAATTCCAGATGCTCAGGAGGCTGAGGCAAGAGAATTGCTTGAACCAGGACCTGGGAAGCAGAGGTTGCAGTAAGCTGCAGTTTAGCCTAGGCTACAGAGCGAGACTCCATCTCAAAAAAAAAAAAAAAAAAAAAAAAAAAAAATCACATGACATGCTCTTCAATTAAAAAAAAGAAAAAAAAAAGCACACCACCATTTCTAGTTTTAAGAGAAAGCATACATACACATATACACCTCCCATGTAGGGAATCCTCTTCTAGCCCACATGGAATAACAGGGACCAGATCTACCCTAGTTTCAGAAACAAAACAAAAACCTGACAAAAGATAAGAATCAATAGTTTTCATTGGATAGCAGGCAACACAGAATTATGATCATTGAAATTACGGAACCAAATAAGGCGATCCTAAAACTGTCCCAGCTAACTGCTATGGAGAGTTTTCAGGGCTAAGGTAGGTAAACCCAGACAGAGCCCAGTAATCTGCCTGAGATGAAAACATAGAACTGGGAGTCCAGGAAAGCCAAGATTTCGAGAGTTTGCAGAGCAAAGTAATGGCAAAGATAGAGCAGCACAAGAGAGCTCTAGAGATCTGAAGAACGCTTTTGTGTCAACTACTGATTACTGACCAGCATATATATGTGAGAAAACTATTCATGCCAGGAAAAGAGCCAAAAAAAAAGCAATGGCAATAATTTCTGTAGCTAATATAGCATAAAGAACAGTCTGTTCCCACCAGCCAGAGTTGAAAACTTTGTAATTTAAGGGGCACCAGGAAGAGTATTCAAAAGAGTAGGGCATATAATCAGCAAAATTACCTCTATATTAAAAGCTGCTCTGGCACCACCTTTAAAAGCTCAAAACCAAGCTTGGAAAGAATCAAATTACTTCCAACTTACCACTGTCTCAGAAACCAAAAAAGTAAAATGCATACTTTCTTGTGACATCCAATAAAAAACAACCAAGCAGGCAAAAAAGCAGAAAAATATAGCCTATAATTATGAGAAAAAATGCTCAATTGAAATCTACCCGCAAATGACAGAATTTGTAGTCAAGAATATTGATACAGTTATTATAACTATGTTCCATATGTTCAAGTACATAGAAGCATGGGCATGTCCAGTAGTGACATGGAAGATGTAAATAAAAATAAGAGACTGAAACTGAACTTCTGGAGATAAAACTATATTGTTTCATGTGAAAAAATACACTGGATGAGATTAGTAGCAGATTAGACATTGAAGAAGATTAATGAATTTGAAGACACAGCAACAGCAATACAAACTATCCAAAGACAAACACAAAAAAATTTTAATGAAAAAAATATGAACCTAGGATCAGAGAGCTGAGAGAGTAACTTCAAGAGGCCTAGTATTTCTGTAACTAAGGTCACTATAAAGAGAGGGAAACACAAAAATATCTGGAGAAGCAATGGCTGAAAAATTTCCCAATTTAATGAAAACTATAAATCCACAGTCCCAAAAAGCTCAACAAACCTCAAACAAAAGAGACAGGTATACTATAACCAAATTGCTCAAAACCAGTGATAAGAACATCTTAAAAGTAGCCAATATTTAAAACACCTACACACACAAAAATAAGGAGGAATAAAAATGATAGCCAACTTCTCAAAAACAATATAAGCCAGGTAACAGTGCAGCAACGTCTTTAAAGCACTGAACAAATAAAACTATCAACTCAGAATTGTATAACCAGCAAAAACATCTTTTAAAAAGGAAAGAGAAATAAAGACTTTTCAGGTATACATAAGGTGAAATAATTCTTTCCTAGCATACCTGCACTGATGTTAAAGGAAGTCTTTTAGGAAATCTTGATACACATAAAAGAATGAAAACACCAGAAATGGTAGCTATATGAGTAGATTTAAAAGACTTCTGCTGCATTTGTAAAATGTCTTTAAAAGGCAATTAAAACAAAATACATCCAAAATGGAATAAAGGCATCCAATAGGAATATGTAAATTATCTCTATTCACAGATGACTTCATCTTATACAGAAAAAATGGTAGGAATTCACAAAAGAACTATTAGATTAGAAACACTGAGTTTAATAAAGTTGCAGGATACAAGATCAATTCACAAATCAACTGAATTTCTATATACCAGCAATGAAAAATCCAAAAGTGAAATTCAGAAACAACTGTGTTTCTAATAACATCAAAAGTATAAAACATATGCTGATTCTATAATTCCTACAAAAACACAAGGGACCCAAAATAGCCAAGACAATCTTGAAAAAGAAGTTAGAGGACTTATACTTCCTAATTTCAAAAATAAAAATAAAAATCAATGGAGTAGAATACAGAGAGTCCAGAAATAAACCCTTACACTTATGGTCAACAGATCTTTGACAAGTGTGCTGAGAACACCCTTAACAAACGGTGCTGAGACAAATGGACAGCTACATGCAGAATAATAAAGTTACCACCTCACACCATATACAAAAATTAACTTAAATGGAACAAGAACTAAATGTAGGAACTAAACCTTTAAAACTCTTAGAAAAAAAATATAGGCACAGATATTTGTGACCTTGGATTAGGCAACAATTTCTCAGATATGATATCAAATCTCAGGAAACAAAAAGAAAACACTAGATAAATTGAACTTCATCAAAATTTTAAATTTTTGTGCTTCAAAGAACAACAATAAAGAAATGAAAACGCAATGCACAGAATGAGAAAAAATATTGGCAAATAATGTATCTGATAAGGGATTTGTAGATGGAATTTAGAAAAAACTTGTAACAGTACAAAGACAAATAATTCAGTTAAAAAAGGATATGACCAGATATTTGTCTGAAGAAGATATGCAAATAGCCAAGATGCCCATCATCATTTAGTCATTAGGGAACACCAAATCAAAACCACAATTAAATACCACTTCACACCCACTAGGATGGCTATCCTCAAAAAAGATGGACATAAATGTTGGCAAGAATGTGGAGAAATTTAAATCCTCATACATTGCTAGTGGAGTGTAACATAGTGTGACCACTTTATAAAATAGTTTGGAATTTTGTCAAAAGGTTAAACATAAAATTATATAACACAGCAATTCATTTACAAGTATATACACAAGAGAACTGGAAATACATGTCTGCACAAAAACTTGTATATGAATGTTCACAGCAGAATTATTCATAAAAGCCAAAAAGAACACGTCCATTAACTGATAAATGGATAAACAAAATGTATATTCACACATAAAAAGGAATGAAGTAATGATACAGCATAGATGAACCTTGAAATCATTATGCCAAATGAAAGAAGCCAGTCACAAAAGGCCACATATCATGTGATTTCCTTTTATATGCAACAACAATAACAAGCAAATCTATAGAGACTTAAAGCAGATTAGTGTTTGCTAGGGGCTGAGATGACTAGGGAATGAGAAGTGCCTGCTAATTGGTATGGTGTTTCTTTCTAGAGTGACAAAAATGTTTTGAAACCAAATTGTGATGATGGATCCACAACCCTGTGAACATACATACACACACACACACACACACATACACACACACACACAAAATCAAAACAAAACAATAAATTGTACACTTTAAAAAGGTGAATTTTATATATGAATCATATCTCAATTTGAAAAAAAAGACAGTTGACTATTTAAAGCAAAAGTAATACATATTTTGGGGTCTGTGCATATAAGTAAAATGTATGACAACAATATCAAAAAAGTCAGGAGGGGAGAAATAAAGTACAATGTTGAAAGGTCCTTAAACTATAGGTGATATGGGAAAATGTCACTTGATAATAGGCTATGATAAATTAAAGATGCATAGTATAATCTCTAAAACAGCCACTGAAATAACCCAATCAAAAGTTACAGCCAATAGGACAAAAATATGAACTTAATCCAAAATAAGGCTACATTGTTCAATGTAAAACAAATCAACCATTATGTGAAAAAACATTTTCAACTTTTGATAAGAACTTGCAAATTCAACTATTTACACCCCAGTGTGAAGTGGGTACACTGGTACAAGTAACATAAAATAGGCCATTTGATTCAATCATAGTAAAATCCTGTAGTAATAAAAGAGGCGCTGGAAATATCTTTGAGAATATAATTTACAGAGTAAAAAAAGTTTTCTATAAAAGGTCTGATAGTAAATGTTTTCAGCTTGTTGGCACACAGTCTCTGCAGCAACTCTGCTATTGTAACACAAAAGCAGCTATAGACAATTACGTAAAAGAATGAGCACAGTTGTATTCCAAAAGTCCTTAATTTATAAAACAGGCAGGAGAAGGATTTGGTCCACAGGTTATAGATTCCAAAGCCTGACCCAAACTCTGGCTGCAGAGGGAAAATATAACAAAAATTAAAGTAAAATAAACTGTTCAGATAGGACATGTGCCAAAGGAATGCACCAATACTATCACTACTGTGCCGAGTCATTGATTTGTCCCTCATCTTTACAATGTACAAATCAGGAACATGGCATAGTAATAGTAAGAAAGATAAAGATATCATAAAGTTTCAAAAGTAGGAATCTTTATGATATTATTTTCCAAGTGAGGGAAATAATAATGAGAGTTAATTTTCTTAAATAAAATATCTTTCTTACGTAAAAGAGTTCATCCGTCAAATAAATTCACAAAAATAAAAATCCAAAAGGATGTCTAATTAAAAAACAATTCTCATCAGTTTGATTTACCAATGCCACACAGATCAGAATGCAGGTCTTTTGAGACATACCAAGATAATACATTATTCTGGCTAAATCTTAAACCAAGTCAGATGTTTTGGAGTAAAACCCTCGAGTAATCTAGATAATTTAGGCTCAAACTTGGCATCATCAAAGGATCCTGGAATCCTCTGTAACTTTTAATAATGTTTGTTGATCACCTACTATACTTTCAAATGTTCTTCTACCCTTTTTGGTCAGCACTTACAAACATGGGAGAATAAGGAAATAAAGAAGAAAAATAACCAACCTGTTCATTTACTGAATCTCCTGCGCCTTTTAAGGACTCCATGGAGACTGAAGCGTCGGTGGCCCTGGAAGTCTTAAGTTTAACATCAGATTTTGGACTCATCAGCTTGTGTTTTGATCTGACATTTCCTTCAGTAGAAATTCCTAAGGATTTCCATTAAACAAGATTTCAGAATTAAATCTTATTCTCTTAAACCCTCCCCCATCAAAACTCCTTCCTTGGAATTCTCCACTTTAAGGGACCTGATGGAGGAAAGTCTCTTACTTTATAAACTTAATTTTAAAGCTCTTAATATACGAATCATAAAAAGAATATGTTTTAAAGAAATACACTAAAGATTTGATTGAAATTTGTTTTTATTTTTATGTTTTTAAAGAGACAGGGTTTTCCTATGTTTATCCAGGCTGGACTCGAACTCCTGGACTCAAGCGATCCTCCCACCTCAGCCTCTGGAGTCTTGTCCAGCTTAATTGAAATATTTTTAAAGGGTATTGTAAATGTTCGTAAGTCACATTAAAACCAATAAATTATAATATGCCAAATATACATTAACTTAGGGGAAATCAAAGATATTTTTCACCCTACGTATATAATCAGGGTGCTTTCAATGGTTGTTTTACTACCATCTAGTTATAACCATTAAACTTTAAGTGTCTCTTACCTATACCCTGTATCAAGAAGTGGTATACTTTTCTTTGAAATAAAAAATTTGGTTATCATTTGTAAAAAAAAAAATAAGAATCTTTTCCCTCTACCACATGAAGTGTGGTACAAGTTATTTAAAATCTGATTTGCCCAGCCAATCCCAAAGATGAGCCAGTATTTCAAAACTTAATAGGGTTATGCCAAATATTCAAAAACAAGTTTTAGGTTTTGATGTACTGCTCTGCATACAGTCAGTTACACCTATAGCTTTATTTTTTTTTTTTTAACAATTAAGGATCAAAGGAAGTTTCCCAAATTTTAACATAGAAAAAAAACATACCTGGAACGTACACTACTGATTGTTCTTCATCAGAAACTATGCAGGAGAACATGAAGGAAAATACAACAAGATTATCCAGCATCCAAATGCTGCTTCTGTTCTGTATACCTCTTATAACTCATCATTTATTTTGACCTGGGAATTTATAACTAACTTTTAAAAACAAAGTTAGAAAGTAAAGTAATTGAATTAAATATAGCAAAATGACTATTCTCTAAAAGTTCATCTTCATATATTCACAACTATAGGTCTTATAAAAATCTTGGAAGGTACCATTCCATGAAACTTCCATCCATTCTCACTGTCGAGTGGTTTACCCTGCAATATATACTCTGATGTTAGTTTCCTTTCCTCTTGAAAACAAAAAGTTAAGTGCTCCAGTTTGGTCATTATTGGGGAACTGACAATTCTGAAGAGTAAATAATTTCAAGATGGGCTTCAGCTTTGAAGAACAAACACTGAGGGCAAGTCAATCATGCAAACACAAAGACAGTATTTATTCTTCTACAGTGCATTAATAAAACATCCCAAGAAGTAAGATATTAATAAATATCCTACTATTTAAAGAGAAGAAATTTAAGACAAAAATAACTATTTTAAATTTCAGAAGGAAAAATTTAGAAAGGCAGTGATTATAACACACAGTTTTCAATTGTCACCTTGATCCAAGTCAACTGTTCCTCTCCCAGCCAGGATTATCACAATAAGCCCCTAACTGCTCTCTGTCACTTCTGTGCACATTCCCTCAACAGCCTATTTTTTCACACAGTGGTTAGAATCATCATTTTAAAACTAATGTCATTTTCAATTTAGATTAAAAGCCAAAGTTTTAACAACAGCCTACAATCCTCAAGATCTGATCCCTATAACTTGTAACATCTCTGACCTCATTCCCTACTACTATTCCTCTCACTCATTCCTGGCTTTCTTACAATTGCTAGCAAGCTATACAAGCTCCTACCTCATAGCTTCTGCATTCATGATTTCTTCTACCCAGGAAGCTCTTTCCCCAAATATTTTCATGGCTCATTTTAGGACTTACATCATATGTTATGATGTCATGTCACCTTCTGATTGAAGCATTCACTTCCTAACCATGTAGGTACTTGAAATTGCAAAACTCTCTCTTCCTGCAACCTACCTACCTCCCCCTACAACTTTCTTCTTTCTAGTTTTTTTCTCCACAGAACCAATAATAAGTGGACATATATTTACTTATTCCTGACCTGATCTCATCTCACTAAAATGTAAGCACAAATGTTCAGTTTTGTAATCTCAAACATAAAAGAATGCCTGGTTCCATAATAAGCCATCTATGAAAGAATAAAATTCATATTTATTTAATTTTATGATGCATTGTCCAACAATTTTCAATGTTATCTTTCTCTAACTCAAAATACGCAGACAAAACCTTTACTTTCAGCTACATCCATGCCAAAGTTCTTTTCAAATATATAAAGCTCTAAACTGACTTCAAAAATTTTTAAACAATATTTAATATTGCCTCTTATCCTTTCTATTTGTAATGTATATTCATCTCATTATACTAAGAATCCAAGTTTACCTTCTTCAAATGTAGAATTTCCCAGCAAATGAATATTTCATGGGGAAGTCAAACAGACATATTACATACCAAATGTATAGCGGACCTACTAGTGGGTCATTTGTAGATCATTTATAATACCTAAAACAATGTACATGCTCTATAAATAGTAGTTACATTGTATAGTTTAATTTGTATTACTTTTTATTGTTGTTATCTTTTTTTCTCAAATATTTTCCATCCATATTTGAAAGAATCAGCAGATACAAAGGGCTGACTGTAATTAGAAACCCAGAGCAGAAGTGGTATAGAGGAAGATGCACCTCTATCCCAGACCTCCAAGATTTGAAGGACATAAGCTCAGTACTGCCCATTCTATTCTAATCTGCTGAGTTTTGCCAGCAATACATGCATATGTAATTATTACCAACCACAGAGACTTTGCGGGCTAATATATTATTTTTACATCAACATAAAGTCTTTGTTTCTATTTGAAAATTTAACAGCAGAGATTATATTGTAATGTTTTGACCCAGTCACTTGCAGTTCATATTTTTTAGTATCAAGTTCCTGATATTGCTAATGGTAATAGGCTAGAGTGCATTTAAGCAGTCAAATTTAGGTACTACAGAAACCCTAACTCACTCTGACATTACTAGATACTGTAATGAAGGAAAAGGGCAACTTACAACTGAACGAACATATTTTGCTGGAAGATTTAACCCATAAAATGACAACACTATACACTCATTGTTTACACAAGTGGTACTAATACGTATCTTGTGCAAAACAGCGCTGCTGAATCATACTGTGCAGGAGATGCATAACTCACAAAAACAACAGTTAAAACAAAAAGGTGGGTGACATTCAGTCACAGATGATCTGTCCTCTCATGATGGAATCATCAAGGATTAAGGAATCTCTCAATCGCATTTCTCTAATTGTTTGGGTGAAGAATTGAAAATCTTTTTTCAATAATGTGAAAAGAATACCAGATTAAAGGTACATACTTTCTGAAATTTTTCTGTTGAAAATTCTACTATAAAGGCTCTAGGGTGGTCTGGGAAATAATCAATATGACAAAAGGATCAAGATCCAAAGACATGTAACCAAATCAAATGATTAATAACTATCATTATGCTTTTCAGCAAATATTCAGCAACAAATTTACATTTGACATTGCTAACAGTGACATTCTCTATGGAGATTTAAAATGAAAATATCTGAAGTTTGATGCTAACTGGTCATTATGTGGAAGAGGCTGGGGGAAAAGGTGACACTAGTAACCTTGCAATGCCTTTCACACATCTGAATTAAATCTCGTAGGATATAATCACCATTTTCCCCCTGTACAATTTCAATTCCTCACTATCAATGAGAAGAAGAGTATTTTACATTAAATGTTGAGAGTCAGAGAACATACAAGAGGTAAGGGAGTATATATGACTTCCATATAAAATAGGGAGTGATATAACTACATAAGTAAGTGCAGTTACTGGGTGCGAAGACCAAGAGCATAAGGTTCAGTCCATGTATCTATTAAGTAACTTATTCAGTTCCATTGCAATAGCTTGTCCCCCCTCATTATTAATTCTATATTTGAACAATACCATAGGCTAATAACCCTCAAGTATCTCCTCTATCACAAAACCTTGTTAATGCAAAAGCAGCGTTTCTTGAGAAGACTTATCCCAATTTACTAACTTCCTAATTCAGCCCAGTTGTCCACGGTGCGCATATTCTCTTCTGAGAGGTAAAGGAAAAAAATGTTTAATTTGCACACTGCACTAGTATGCGTTCATCCAGTGTATTCATGATTTCATTTGCTTTTCACCAACCTATCAGAGACAAATGGTAATTATGTCTATTAAGAGCAAACATTAAACACCTGATCAGCACACAATACAAACATATCCCTCCCCACACATGACACTAATCCTAGTAACTCAGCAGAGGAGTTGGTAACACATTTTTGTAAGTTTTACCAGGAGCTTAGAAGAATGCCGAAGAGGGATTCTGCCAAAGGTAACTGCAATACCTTAATGCCATCACCAATCCTAGTAAAAAGAAAAAGCTGCCTGATTGCCCTCCCTCTTTCAAGTAACTCCTCTAAGGAACATGAAGTGAATTATCAGGACCAAAGCTCAAGCGAGAACAGTCTACCTACTCCAGGGACAGAAACACTCCTGTCACACAAACATCTCATCACAGCTGCTGAACTGGTAACACTACCACTGGACTAAAAAGTTCCACTGCTTCTCCATCTCACAACGATCCAAGAACTTCAATGCCTGCCAGTGACCCACAATCTACAAGTAAGTCAACAATACTTCCAGGCACAATGATTCCCATCTTACACATTAGCACCAATAGACCACATCCCAGTAACCAAGCTCCACAGCTCCCCTAAAATACGTCATCACTGGAGGGCCTTTTAAGTCCGACAAGGTCCTGACTTGCTCCTAGCAATGCAGACTAAGGACAGCCCTAAATCAAAATAAAAAGGCTCCCTATCCAGCCAACATCCACTCCTCCCTCAACCTCGAGCTCGCTCCACGCACTCAGTCGGCCTCGGGGCACTCTGAAAGGGTGGGCAGAGGGACCTCGGAGAACCCGCCCAGCCCCAGGCTGAGCATGGACTCCAGGCTATCTTTCCCGCTCACCGCTAGTGAGGGCAGGGAAGCACCTGCGCCGCGTCCCCGCACCTGGAGACAGTTACCAGTCTCTCTACCTAACACCCAAGCAAGGGGAAAGCCCAACACCTAGACTGAGGCTGAGCAGCACGTCCCCGCCACCGGGGTTAGCTCGGAGCTTCTCCTCAGCACTCAGACTGCCACGCGACCGCTCGCCCCTCGCCGCCACGGGGGAGGGCGCCGGCGCCCCCTGCCAGGCGGGCAAAGGATACAGTCCCGACTCCAGAACGCCGCGACGCCGGGGCGGGAGGGGCCCGCCACGTCCGCCATCTTGAAACAACCGCCACTCGGGGCGTCGCGCCGGGGCCGCCACGCCCCGGCCGGCAGGCGCGGTCCCCATTGGCCACACCACGCAGAGGCCCGCCCCCGCCTGTGCGGCCGGCCCCTGCGGGGCGAGAGGGTCGGGGCAAAAGGGACGCTGTGTCCTGGAGGTGCGGTGCGGGGCACCGGCCGGGGCCGCAGGAACTGGCGCCCCGCGGAGCTGCTGCTGTCAGACCAAGCCCGGGTGCCCATCAACACAGCGCCGCGCTCTCAGGCGCCGAGTACTACAGTTCCCGGCATGCCGTGAACTTGGCCGAGGCGCCGAGGCGGGGTCCGACCCTCCGCCAGCTCCCGCCGCGCGCGGGTCGGGGACGCGAGCCATGGAGGAGAAGGCGTCGCCCCCGCCGCAGGGCTGCAGCAAGCCGCACTTGGAGAAGCTGACCCTGGGCATCACGCGCATCCTAGGTGAGGGATGGGAGGCGGATGCCGAGAGGGTATGGAGGAGAAGGAAGGAGGAGCGGTGGGATGAGGTGCGGGGTGGGCGGCGCGACGCCGGCCCCTGAACAGGAGTGGACATCGCTGCTGTGACTTCTGTTGTTACGGAGGAAAGTGAGGGACCCGGTTTGTGATTAGGCCGGGGAAGGGTCTGCCAGGAGTGTTCGGAGACACTGCTGGGAAGCCTGAAGGTTCCCCCACTCACCGACCCCCCCAAGGTCCCCCGCAGGAAGGATGGGCAAAGACGTACAAAGGGAACACAGCAAGCACCTAACGCGTTCTCAGCCAAGGCATTATCCCCGAAACCTAAGTCCTTCCTCGAGGGAAGTGATGCAGCCGACTTCCCAGGGCGACGTTACCTCGGGTCGGAAAGGAATCCAATCTTGCACCACTGAATGAGTTTTTCTTTTATCGAATGTTTCTTTTGTTGTTGTTATTGTTTGTGTGTGTGTGTGTGAGAGAGAGAGAGAGAGAGAGAGTGAGTGTGTGTGTGTGTGTGTGTGTGTGTGTGTGTGTGTTTTGAGACAGAGTTTCGCCCTTGTTGCCCAGGCTGGAGCGCAATGGCGCAATCTCTGCTCACTGCAACCTCTGCCTCCCGGGTTCAAGCAATTCTCCTGCCTCGTCCAGCTAAATTGTACTTTTAGTAGAGACGGGGGTTTCACCATGTTGGCCAGGCTGGTCTCGAACTCTGGACCTCAGGTGATCCACCCTGCTTGGTCTCCCAAAGTGCTGGGATTACTGGCGTGAGTCACTGTGCCTGGGTTATCGAACGTTTTTTTTGGTACTCACCGCTATGTTAGACTGAGGTTAAAATATGAAAAAGACACAGTTCTGTGAAAAAAAAAATATATATATATATATAGGTCCCTAAGAGTGTGAAAAGAGGTCAGTAATCTGTTGTTACTCAGAGATGTCACAGAGGAGGGAAGTGATCTTATCAGGGAAATTAAAAGAACATGTCACAGAGAAGATGATGCTAGATTTTGAAAGATGTATGGGAGTTAGCCAGAAAACCAAGGAGGAGAAAGGTCTTTTAAGAAGGCTGAAAAGCATGCTTCAGTGCCTTCCCATTACAATTATAATAAAATCCAAATGCCTGTACCATGAATTACAAGTCCCTGTATGATCTGCTTCAAGGCTTTTGAAATTTGCTAGTTCTTACACCTGGAATTATCTTTCTCCAAATGTCTGGCTTCTTCAGGTCATTCAGATTTCTGATCAAATGTTATTACCTCAGAGAAACCTTCCCTGAATATACTTCGAATAACCTCTGTCTTTCTTGTTCTCTTTCCTTATCCTAGTTTTTCCTTTATTCTTATAGCACTTAGCACTACTTGGAAGGTTGGTTGATTTTGTAAATTTGTGTCTCTTTTAATAGAAGTCCAAGACGAAGTGTGATTTAGGAATGAGTGGTTTAACATAAGACTCAATTAATAGCTGGGCATGGTGGCCTTTGTCTTTACTTCCAGCTACCGGGAAGGCTGCGGTGGGAGGGTCACTAGAGCCCAGTTCAAGTCCAGCTGGGCAACACAGCAAGACCTTGTCACTAAAACAATAAAATAAAATAAAATGTGACTTAAAAAAATCAGTTAAGGTAATGCAACTTATTAATAGAATGAGACAAAACTGCATAATCATCTTAATAAAGAAAAAGCACTTGATGAAATCTAACGCCCTTTCATTATTAAAAAAAAAAAAAAACTCAACAAACTAGAAATAGGATACAATAAAGATAGAACTTTGTCAACCTGATAAAGGAGATCTATAAAAAACCCACATCTAACATCAGGTGTAATGGTGAAAGACTGGCAGCTTTCTCCTTAAAATCAGGAAGAAAAATTGTGTCAAGGTTCCCCAAGATCACACCAGATTCAATGATTTGACATAAGGATTACAGTAATCAGGAGATAGTCCTACTCATGGCTGTGCTTCATTACAACAAAAGGATTTTGGCAGCCCGATTAACAGGCCCTTTTAAGGATTATTGTCTTGGGCCTGCTATGTTCACTCTTGTCTGCACAGTAAGAATTTCACTTTTATCACTTCTATTCAACATTGTACTGGAGGTTCTAACTAGGGCAGTTAGGCAGGAAAATGAAATAAAGGCATCCATTTGGAAAGGAAGAAGTTAAACTGTCTCTTTGCAAATGACATTATCTTGAATATGAAAAAAAATCCTAAGGTGTATACACACACACACACACACACACACACACACACAAATATCCCTGTACACCAGCAATGAATGATCCAAAAATTAAGAGAACAATTCAATTTACAGTAGTATCAAAAAGAATAAAATGCAGCTGGCAAAGTGGCTCACACCTGTAATCCCAACACTGGGAGGCCAAGGTAAGAAGATTGCTTGAGACCAGGAGTTGCAGACCAGCCTGGGCCACATAGTCTTTACAAAATATTTTAAAATTAGCCAGGTATGGTAGTGCATGCATTAGTCTTAGCTACTCAGGAGGCTGAGGTAGGAGGATCACTTGAGCCCAGGAGTTTAAGGCTACAGTGAACTAGCACACTGCTGCACTCCACTCTGGATGACAAATGTAAGACCCTATCTCAAAAAAAGAAAAAATAAAATTAATTAGGAATAAATTAACACAAGATGTCCATGACTTATGTACTGAAAGACTGTAAGACTGTGGAAAGAAATTAAAGAAGACATTGTTAAAATCCGTTACTCCCTAAATTGATCTACAGTTCCCATCAAAATCTCAATTATCTCTTTTGTAGAAATTGAGAAGCTGATGTAATCCTAAAATATAATATAGAAATGCAAGAGACCCAGAGAAGCCAAAACAATCTTTCCTTTCCAAAACAGGAAAAAAGTTCCTCTTACTCACATTTTCCTATTTCAAAGTTTACAATATTTGAGATGATGGAAAAGTTCTGGTGATGGTTGTACAACAGTGTGAATGTACTTTATGCCACTGAACTGTACACTTAAAATTGACTAAAATGATATGTGTATTTTACTATAATTTTAAAATTTAAAGCACAGTAGTCTTCAGAGTGGTAGTGGCATTAAAATAGAAATACAGATCAATGAAATAAAATTGAGATTCCAAAAGTAAACGGCACATTTATGATTCACTGATTTTTGACAAGGATGTTAAGACTTCTCAATGAGAAAAAATAGTTTTTCAACAAACAGTTCTGGATTTCCACATGTAAAATAATGAAATTGGACCTCTACCTCAAATTACAAACATTAACTCCAAAAGTATCTTAGACCTAAAAGTAAAATAATGAAATTGGACCTCTACTTCAAATTAGATACAAAAATTAACTCCATAAGACTCTTGAAAGAAAACACACCTTAGGTTACTTTTTAAGTGACCGTGGATTAGGCCCTGGATTCTTAAATATGACATTAAAAGCATAAGCAACAAAAGAAAAACAGATAAGTTGAGCTTAATCAAAATTTAAAATGTTTGTGCTTTTAAGGATACAGTCAAGAAAGTAACAATCCAAAAAATAGGAGAGGCTATTTGTAGATCATATATATGAAAAGGGACTTATAGATTTGCAAAGAACTCTTACAACTCAACAATAAAAGACAAATAATTCAATTTTTAAGGATCAGGACAGACATTTCTCCAAAGATACATAGATGACCAGTGACCACATATAAAGATGATTATCATCGTTAGACATTAGGGAAATACAAATCAAAACCATAATGTGATTTCACTTCATACCCACCAGGATGGCTATAGTCAAAAAGACAGATACAGCGATTGTTGGCGAGGATGTGGAGATATCATACACTGCTGTTGGGAATGTAAAATGTATAGCAGCTTAGGAAACTAGTTTGGCACTTCCTCAAAAGATTAGTTACCATATGGCCCAGTATTTCCATTTCTGGATTTCATTTCTCCAAGAGAAATGAAAAGATATTTACATGAAAACACTTGTATACAAGTTTTGTATCTGCATTATTCATAGTTGTCAAAAGTGAAAACAACGCAATGTTCTTTGATTGATTAATGGGATATGTAAAATGTGATATATCCATGTAACAAAAAATTATTCATCCATATAAAGGAATGAATACTGATCCTACAACATGGATGATCTTGAAATCAAAGTGAGAGAAGCCAGTTGCAAAAGCCACGAGTATGATTCTATTTATATGAAATGTCCAGAATAGACTAATCTATAGAAACTGAAAGTAGATTAGTGGTTGTCAAGCCTGGTGGGAGAGGGGACTGCTAATATAATAGGTATGGGTTTCTTTTAGGGGAAAGGATGCATAACTCTGAATATGAAAATCACTTTATAAGGGTGAATGATGGTATGTGAATTATATCTTAGTAAAGCTATTTTTAAAAAGGAATCCTAAACATGGTACTATTAGAATTCCTGCTGTAATTCCCAGGATCGTGAAGCTGATGAGATATCACACCTCGATTATTTTATATTAAATGGCAAAAGCAAGATTATCCAGGTGGGCCCAATCTAATCACATAAGCCTTTAAAACAAGCTGTTAACAGGGAAGTCAAAGAGATTTGAGGCATAAAAAGAATTTCTCACGCTGTTGCTGGCTTGAAGATGGTTGGGACCTTTTAACAAGGAATACAAGTGGCCTCTGCAAGCTGAGAGTGGCCCCAGCTGACAGCAAGCAAGGAAATGGAAGCTTCAGTCCTGCAACCAAAAGGAATTGAATTCTGTCAATAACAGGAATGAGTTTCCAAGATGACCCCAAGCTCCAGATGAAAATACAACAGCTAAAATACCTGTCAGCACATCTGGTGTAAGGAAAGACCAGTAATTTCTGGTCTTTCCTAAGCAGATAACCCAATCATGGTGTGCCAGACTTGTT